ATTCTTGCTGAAAGGGGGTTTTAAGCCGACTACTCAAAGGGCGCGGAACCCTTTTACGGGTCGATTGCAAAGTGCCCCCGGTGTCGATCGGGTGTTCCATGTTCTCTTTGCTCCCAGGTGTTCAGACTCATCCTTGCCCCGTTTTCCTTTGGGTTACCATTTTTAGGGGGGGTTCACTCTGTCTCTACCTTCTGCAGACTGGATGAAGGAGTCCTCGTGTTCTTTCTTCTCCATTTCGGGTCACTGGTTCTAGGTTAGGGTTTGTTTTGGATAGCGAATCCACCTGTAACAAACAAGGAAGGGCACAGTTGCTAAGAAGGTAGAAGACGGCAAACACAAGGAACATTTGCGGAAGATTAACTTGGAACAGAGGCACTTGGGTAGTGCAGCCAAGTTATCCAAGCATATTTCAGGGTCACAAGATTTGACATTTTACATAAAGGAATCAAGGCCGAAGAATCAGTGCCCGGATTATGTCTTTCTCGCACTTGTTTAGACCTTATTCCGTCTCAACAACATAGACATCCAGTCTCTTGCCACGAGGCCGCGTTGGCATACTTTCCAGCACTACGTTGCCTAGTTGGAGGGCTTCAGGATTGCAACCCGCGTATTCGTGGCCAAGCACTATGGCTTACTCTCGCAATGACCTTCTTACTGGCAAGTCCCGCAATGCCCCCGAAAAAGCAGCGCATCTCCTGGAATGTAGACATGGGTAGCTCTGTCTCGACACGCGCGCCAAGCATGCCTCCAACCTGGAGACTGCGTGGCCGCATCCGAACAATAGCGGCTGAGCAAAGCGCTGCAGGATCCAACCACCGAGGGTGCGCACGTTGATCATGGAAGGCATGCTAAACCACACGGCGAGACATAGTCACAGCCAAGCAACATCTGTTTGCTTGTGACGAAAGCAGCCGTAGCATTGGTTTTTTTTGTTTGCCCTCCAGGCACACGAGGCGCCAAAAAGAGGTTCGAAGACTTGGCCTCTTCCCCGGCGCAGCTGGCAAGATGGCGGGTTGTCAAGTTAGCTCCGCGCCATTTGTCATTCTCGCACTTTGAGCATGGCTTTGCAAAATGATCGGCGTATTGCAGGCTGTCGCCGCAATGGCCAGGTTTGGGCAAGCGGCGGTGGTAGGCCGGCAGCAGTGCCCGCGTTGGCTGCGCGAAGGGCCTCACCATAGGCGCGGATCGGTCTCGCCTGGCAAGGAAGAAACAAGGCAAAAAGCCACCGTACTGTGTCGCCTAGGTGCACATGCAAACTGCTGTCTGTGGGGTGGGATAAGGCGTATGGATCTGGAGGAAGACCGCGCATTGAACACAACAGGCGGGCGCGTGTGTAAACGTGTGTCAGAAGTGGGGGTTGGGCGAGAGGGGGCGGGCGAGAGCAAAGCCACCTATACTCGCGCGGGCGCTCAGCCACACGAGAAACTGGATCTTCTGCACCAAGTTTGACTTGAATCACTAACCTGTCTGTGCTCCCATACCCATCACAAGTAGAGGAATGCCCTTGTGCAAGTGAACCCGTAACTCAGCAGTGACCGCTGTCTTGTCTTCGACTTCGCTGGCCAAGCTTGCGCAGCCAAAGTCGTGGACTTTCCGTTTGCAAGCAGTGGCCTGCCACTTGTGTCCAGCTTGAGGCTGCTCACAAGGGAGGGTCCGGTCAAGTTGGTGGTGCCGTAGTGCGCAGATCTCTGACAGGCAGACGGGAAGCCTGGGTTAACCACGTGTGGGGGGGGGAGGTTATCACAGCAATCTGCGATTTTTTTGGTCAAACGGGGTCCCTTCTGGGGGACCCCCAAAAAACCAGTGTAGGGCCTACACTGGTTTTTTGGGTGTCCCCTGAAAGGGACCCCCACATGATTTCAAGTTGCAAAAGACGCCCAGATCAGCTGTAGGTCCCTTGGCAGGGGACCCCCAAAAAACCAGTGTAGGCCCTACACTGGTTTTTTGGGGGTCCCTTGCAAGAGACCCTCGATTGTCCGAAAAAAAGCAAAGGAGCCGCCAGGTGGCCGCGCCTGCGCTGTGGCTGTTTCTCTTTGCGCCGGTTGTTTCTGAGAACCAGAGGTGCGTTGCCAATCGCAACAAAACGGAGTGTGGCGCGAGCGTCTCGCATTTTCTGCTGCAACTCCGCGACTCAAGCCACGGGGAGCGAAGGCGCTACACGCCTCCGATGTGGCCGCGCACCGGCGGACCAGGCAAAACTTTTCGTAATCGTGCAACACAGTTTGAATTGACTGGGGTTCACGCCCAAGCTGGTCTGCAAGTGAATGTATCTCCAGCTGCGCTGCCCTTTGCCTCACTTGTGACACAAAATCCTACAAGCAAACAAACCACACTCGCTGCGCTTGTACGACGTTAAAGCAAGCAGAGGGACATGTCTGCAGAATGAGCCGGAAGCTCTAAAGCACTGACACTTGAGAAATGGCCTGCGCCGTTTCCGAAAACAACGAAGGAGAACCACAGGAAAACAGCGTCCAAACCACAACTTCCCTGAAAGCAAAGCGAGCTGCGTCGCAATTGCCACGGGACACCTACCGTCCCCCTATTCTGCCAGGTCCTGCTTGACATCACTTCACGGGAAACACTTGTTGCGAAGTGACATTTCGTTTGGCAAGGCTTCTTTCAGCTTGTTGGATGCTAAGGTGGAGGCAGGCGCCCGGCGCCCCGGGCGCCCGGCGCCCCGGGCACCCGGCGCCCCGGGCACCCGGCGCCCCAGGCGCCCGCCGCCCCGGGGCGCCCCCCGCCCATGGCGCCCGGCGCCCCAGAGCCGGCAGAACTCAAAAGATTTCTGCTCTGTTCAAATGGCTTTCAAACCCACGCTTGTGTTTGGGGCGCCAGGCAAAGGTCCACGTGACCTGACAAGCGTGCAAATGCAGGCACGACCCCCCGCTTTTGGGAGATTCTCGGGTGTCTCCAAGCGTAGTTCTGCATCTACGTGGAAGCCAAGACACAGCTTTGCGCTGTCAGCCAGAACAAGCCTCAACTCCCGCCGCCTCCTGACTTCGTCCTGGTGACAAACTCCAGAGCGACACAAACAACTCAATGTCTTTGCCTCTCGGCATTCCGGGACTGCCTCGTCGCACAAGCAGCAATTAATGCTGGCCCTTCCTGCAACTGATTGACGCTGAGCGGGTGGAGTTACTGACTTGTTTGAAGACGCAGGTGAGAGCAAATTCCTTTTGAATCAGTGCAAGCAAGGCACGTCATGGAAATACGTTCTGCCAGATGAATCTGGGATGCGCGCGGCAAAAAAAGGGATCTGGCCCGCCCTTGATGGTTGGCCTTGTTTAATGTCAAACCTTGTGACCCTGTATTTGGACTGCCAAACAGAAAGACTTCGTAGGAGAACCTAGGAAAGGGTGAAAACAAGGAGGTTGATGCGGATAGTGAAGCAGAATACACATTGGCTGCAGACAACGAGAAACGAGTCCGCAAGGGAAAGTTTGAGTGACGCATTTTGAAACAGGAAGGCTCAATGCCCATAGGCAAAACCCCGATCGAGTATGAGGATGTGACTTCATTGCTCAACGAGCATGAGGCCAACCAGTTCCAAGAGACACACTCTACTTCAGCGGCGCGCTCAATGTGTGACAATGTGGGCATTCCCAAAGGGAGCACGAAGCTGGGGCTGCTCAATTCTTGGAGTTTCAGATTGATAAATCGCCTCTCTGATTAGTCTCTGATTGAGGTGGTCCATATTGTTGTCAGTTCCGCAGTGGTGCAAGCGTGCGAACAGAGTGCAAGAATTGGTGGTATCCACAGCTGGGCCCAGGTAGGGGCCCTTGTTGGTACTCCTTCCAAAGGCTGCGGCGGAACGAGGCTCTCAAAAAGGGTTGGTTTTTCACCACCCCAATCAACATGGTTTGGAGGTGTGGACCCCGGGGATATGCCACCAATCACCGCCTTTTTTCGAGGGAAGCTGAACAAGACATGTTTGTAGAGGTTTTGCACCGGCATTAGCCATGGCAAGTCTGAGACCCTAAAGGCCCCTTAGATCTTTAGAACTGGATTTTCCAGCTTGTGCTTGTTCGGGGGGGCTTGGCGCAGCGTTATAGCGTACCGCTTAAGCTCCGCCCTGTTTCGCACCCAAAGCCACCCTTGAATCTCTAAACTTGTGCCATAATCTTCCAACATGCCAAGATCAAATCTCAACAACACCAGAAGTTATTACCAAGTACCAAGGAAAACAAAAACGGAAAATTAAAAACGAAGTTAGGCTCAAGAAGAAAACCCAAAGCCACACCTCCTCGCTTCAAAATATCGCGGTGGTAGCCCGATAGCAACCGGGGCCAACGAGGAGTCCTTGTGCAACTTGGAGCCGGAGACCTTCTCCTTCATCGCCTCCTGGACCCTGGCGAGGACCGTTTGCGCTGGCTGAGTTTGGTTGTTTTTTGGGCGCCGGATACACAAAACCTATTGCAAGTGAACCAACCACATCCAACCACAAAAAACCGCACCAACCGCATCCGACCACAAAACCCATGGAACAACTAGGGCAAATTCGGGGGTTCACTTGTTCACTTCTCCACCGCAAGGAGAGAGACCCTACCTTTTGGCATATTGTGCGCGCAAGTTCATATTGGTACTCATTACGGTCATGAGGTGGATGACGTGAATCACGCTCACCAGAATGCCATCTTGTCTGGGAAACTAACCCCACGGCGGGTGCTCGCAACCACATTTCCCTTGTCAGAAGCTAACGATGTCTGTGCTTTTCGCATCAGCTTGCCGGGGCACCGCATCTACATGCGAGATGCACGAGCGGCGCCATCGCCAGCCCCTGCAAGACACAGATACGGGTATGTTGGGTGTGTCTATTTTTGAGGGTGCCCCTTTTGGTGTTTTTTTTAGGGAAAACCACAAGGCAAATACGAAACATCATACACCCATATCCACTTTCAGAAGTCTTTCGGCCCTGACCACGTTACAGTTGATTGTGGCTCTTTTGACTTCATACCAATCCCGAGCCACAATTGGAGAACGGAGGCCAAAGCTGAAGCCCAATACATAGGTTTGTTTCAGAGATCTTTTTGTTTTGGTTTCTCTTGAACGCTTGGATTGGTGCCCTTCACAAGAACATGCCCACATAAACACAGGGAACTTTTTGTCAGGGAAGCCCGGAGTTGGGGCAGAAAGACCACAAACACATATATTTTCCCAGCAGGGCGTCGTTGTGGAACCCGGAAAAACCAGCGGTTGGGTGCCCATGGTCCCATGGTGACGCGATGAGAGCCAGCGGAGAGCCGACGGAGTCAGTGGCGATGCTCGCAGGACCTTCTTTGGCTTTTGGCCCACGCTGGGAAGCCCGGTGGGTGGGGGTGGGTAGGGGGAGGGAGGTAGGGGGTGGGAGGGGTGGGAGACGTTCGCCCTTTTTTTTGCGGGTCTTGATGGTTATCCTTTTGTGTGTTTCCCTTGCAGAAACCGACAAGAACGGATACTTGCCCTGGAAAAGCAAGCACAGATGATCAAACCTTAGCGCCACAAGAAACATTCAGTTTCACCAAGGACAAACAGAGGGATCTCGTACGGACGATGCCACGCTTTTTGCGAACCATTGAAATCAAACTCTGCCCATAAACCTCCGGGCACCAGTTCCCAAGGTTTGAAATAGGCTAGACTGTGAGGTGCCGCCGACCCAAGCTGATCAACCTGGTGAATCGGTGCGCCAAAACGAACATGATCCGGATCTTCAATGTGACACTCCCGAGTCAAACTGAAGGGATGGTGGCAAACACACAAGATCCGGATCTTAAATCTTAAATGTGACACCCCCACAAGGGATGAATTCTGAACTTGGTGGTTCCCAGCCATTCCCTCCGCGTTTTAGCCTTTTCCTGTTTAGTGGGGATTTCCATTTAAGCCACTAAAAGTTAGTCACTTTCAGCGGGGGATCTGAAGACAGCCCAGTGAATGGGTTCCTGGGAGAAGTCCAGCACGCTGCGCCCTTCGGTCGCAGGCACACCTGGATGGCCAGCAACGAGGCGGACGAAGGTCTGCTGGCGCAGCCAGGGCCTCGGCTTCACGGCTTGGGCTCTGGGCTGCCTGGGTGCCTTTACTTTTTTGGCGCATGGGGCTGTGGTGGTCAAAAATGGGGTAACCCCAAAATGGGTTACCAGGGTAGGTAAATGGAACCCAGGACTCAAACCTGCATATCCAGGTGGTTTAGTTTTGACCCCGAATGCGACAAAGTCCCTTTATTGACCAGGTACCTCGCCCCTACATTTAGTGGGATCGAATCAGACGCTTTCGGCGGCAAGGATTCAAAGCCAGCTGGTCGGATCCACCCCTACAGACTCAACAGTTTGCCCGGGGAAAAGGAAGGGAACCCTGTTTGGTGCCAAACAATTCCATTACGCTGGGCAAAAGGGCAATATGGGTGTGGCTCAAAATTCAACAGGAGGGGTTGCGCAGGTTTTTTGTCTCCATGTTCCCACTTACCAGGGTTCCATTTTGGTGCCGGTTTTTTGAGCCACAGCCAGCCATATTGCGCCATTTCTTCATGGCCCCCCAAGAACCCTCCCGGCAAGTCTGAGCTGTTGGGCTTGCCAAGCACGATCCGCCAACCGCCCTCCGTTCAAAATCGAGGGCACGCGCGCATTTTACGAGTAGGGGGCTCTTGAAAAAGGTCAACACGTGTCTACCCGGGTCTCCACTTTTGGTGCCCCTTTGCGTAAACTCACATTTGGGTATTCCTTACTCTAAACGGGTACCACTAACTTACTAGACCTGAAAGGTGATACCGGTTCATCGTTTTTGTTTTGTTTTGCGTGCCATTGGGAGCAGCAAACTGCAGAAGGCGGGACTTTGGTCACCGGTTTCACGTGTGCTAGGATAACTTTTGCCACGACAAGTTTGCCACTTGTTTCAGCTGATGCTCGCGCTCTGAACGAGCGACATGGGCCTCTTTTGGTATGATTGAGAGCAGAGTCCACTCGACCACAGTTGGGGTCTCCAATCCCACAACTAGTTGTATTTTAGGGTAGACATAATATGATCAGAATCTCAAACACTTTTTTTGCAAAGTAGGCCAGGAGAGGAAGACTGGCGCAGAATAAAGAAGCTGAAAGAAAGTACGAGCAAGCCCTGACGAATCTCGCTGCACACTGGAAGTTGCTTCGCCCGAGCAGTGTCCTTGGAAGATTTCTTGGCGGCTAGCACGAGGTTGTTATTGTGCCAGGAAAGGTGCTGGGGGAGTGGTTGGGTGGCTAGGCTCCAGATTGCTACCATACGCTTTGCGGCTAGTTGCCTGTCAAAATTTCGGCCGGTCCCATTTCTCAGGGAGGGCACTGGCCATTGACAGACAGCTTGTTTTAAATAGTTGAGATTAATCAACCATGCAGACAAAAAGCGTTTTGTTCCCTGAAAGTAAAGGATTCCCTCTAAATGGGACGCCCACCCGAATGGGAACCCGGGTACCACCTGGTTGCCTCTCCGACGACCCATAGGAGGAATCCGGATCACTGTGCCCCGAGCGAAATCTGCACGGTGAGACGACGATCCGGGGTCAACACATTTGGGAGTGTATTTCCTGACGCTACCCCCCCCTCTTATTTTGGGTGTTGGTTTCAAGGGAAACACATGGAACCCCGCGCAGAAACGAGTGTCCACGTTGCGTATTTGCCTATGTTTGGTGATAAGAAGCGTTGTAAACCAAGTAAAAGTTGCCTAGGAGGTTAATAACACCATAACCAACGCATTTGGTGGGTCTGGGGTCAACATTGTTGGTGGGAGGTCTGGGGTGCGGTACCTGAGGCTATGAGATTTGATAGGAAATCTCCAAAGGTGAATCCCCACCATCATGTGTGTGTGTGTGTTTCAAAATAGGGGTACCCCGAAAACGATTTTCGGTTTTCCTTCCAAGGTAACAATTGTACAAACAAGACGCGCCGAACCGTGTGATGTATAGTTAATGGTTCCTCGGAGGGTTTCCCATGTCCGTTTCAATTCCAAAACGAAGGGTTACCTGAACCGATTTGGTCCCCTGGGTTTTCACGAAAACCAAACGGCCGATCCGAGGTATATGGGAGGCTTCCCGGGTCCCCGGGCCAACCGCTACCGGCCCGCGCACTACGTGGGCAGCCCAGTCAACCAGTTCTGCGGCTTCGCCCTTTTGACGCGGGAGGCCGGCCTAGAAACCCACCCAAGACTGGGTGTCCTGACATTTCCGAGTTTGGTCCATATTTAGTCGTGACCACCCCCCAGCTAACCTTTGAGTTCCAGGCCTTTTGGCAACTGACATGAGGTTTGGTCAAAACTTTGTGAGTTGGCTGCTTTTCTGAGAAACAGCTCTAGAGGGGCCGAGCCCGAATTGTCTTTTCGGGAAAGTCGTTTTGACCGCTCTCTGAGTTCCTGACCCTACGACTTTAGTGGCAAGGATTAGAAGCTTTTTGGGTCGGGGTGTCTCGAAGGGCCCGCAAAAAGGTTCTACAGGGCACCTAAGGACATATGGGTACGGGCTTGTCTTTTTAAGGGTACCCCTTTGTTTGGCAGTTTATAGTTTATAGGACAACGAAGAGGAAAACAACTTTGTCCTTTTGCGGACGGGGAGGGGGGGGGGCCCTAAAAGAAAATCACCTGTATGAATCCCCCATCGCCTTGAAATTCTGCAAGGGGTTTTAGGCTCGCTTCCTGTGATGCCAAATGGAATCCCCTTTGAAGTGACACCGGAGTCACAGGGGTGCCCACTTTGGTGCAACACAAAAGGTTACTACTCATAACCATGCTGCTTTGTATGCTTGTTTTGTTCATGCTTGGCTTTTTGTGTTCTATTCATGTATGGAAGGGTCAAAATGCTGTTGCAGTTTGCTTCAGGGTTGGAAGCAGCTTGGCATCCCCCAATGACTGAAGGCAGCCAAATCACAAAGCACACTGTTTCTGGGAAAAGTGCATGACAAGTCCGTCCCACATACTCTTTGGAAGCTTGCACAGATGCCGCTGTGAAATTTGGTAGGGAGCCCTCAAAAGTGGTTGGGGAACACAAGTGCCCATGCCAATGGAGTACACCGAAAGGTCCTAAATTGAAAACACGTCCCAGTTGTGTCACAGCGGTTGAGAATGTCCAGATCCACAAGTGTTCCGCTTCTCTGCATCAAAGACCCCCCTTGCCATCGTCGAGTTCTGAAATCAGAGCCCGGTTCCTTGGACCTTCGTGGCCCTCCAAAACAAGACATGTGCAGATTGACACAGACATATATGTATATATATGCGTACACAATGCATATATTATATACACGTCTGTGTGTTGTTTACTTGGCTAGATTGAAAGTGGGTGGCAAAAAGGACATGCTAGCTCAAACCTATATGGTAAGGATGCAGATTGTGGTATAGGGTTGCGGCTACTAGTTTACCCAAAGGAACACACAAGCACATATATCATAAGCACAATATGTGCACACAGGGGTTCACAACTGTTATTTTTAAGCTCTATATGACTTCCATGTGTATATATATATATATATATATCCAACATAAACATGTGTCTATATACATAGTCAATCACTATACGTTGGATTGTGTGTGTTTGTGATATTTATCTATGTACGCACATATTATATATATATATATATAGAGAGATATGTACTCAAGTACATTTCTTATACTTTGGCTAGAGAGTGGTTACATCACCTAGGGATCCTGAAAGTTCCTGCGCACCCTTGGATCAAACGGTGCCTTCCGAACCTTGAGGATGCCGCGGTCACCGTGGAGGCGGAAGTTGGAAGTTCGCCCGGGGAATTGGCGCGCAGAGCCACGGGGGCCATCTTTGGGTCACAAAAAGGGGGCCCCTTTGTGTGAGTTTTGGGTCGATTTCCCAGTAGGGAGTAGGGTTTGGGATTGGCGAACACTTCATTTTTGCAGCAGCCCAGAACAGCGCCAGGTGCGGAGTGCTAGAGAGACCCCCGCCCTCCCTTGAAAGGGTGAAGCGGTCAAGCCTTGTCAAGGCTAAGGCGACAAAGGATATTTCTTTGGCGTCTTTGAGGTTCCCTGATACCTGCCTGAAGCAACCATCAGACAATTCTTCTGATTCCATGTTCCATCAGGGTTTCATACATGTTCTGTTCGGGGCTTCCAGATGGCTTCACTTCACAGGCTCCAGCACTCAGGTTTTCGGGGGTCCAAAAGAGTCGGGTTGATTGGGACGGCCGAAAAACCATCCCGGTGGGGAAATATAGGGAATGGGACACTTTCAGGGGTATGTGTCAGGAAGCTTTACTGGACCTTTGCCTCCCAATCGCCTCGGGCTCCCAAGTTTTGGATCTTAGGGTCCGGGGCCCAGGACTGTTGAGTGGGCGGCTTCCCAAACTTGGCTGCTGTGTTTGATCTTTGGCTTGATTTTTTTTGGGGACATGTTTGTTTGGGGACATGTTTGGTTGTTTCCCAGTAACCACAACAACTTCAGCTTTTGGCACAGGGGGCATAGCCACCGACTGGCGGAACGTACGTTTGTCTTAGAAGTTAAAAAAAGGGTCTTGGTCCGGTTGCCCTGTAGTGGCGCATTTGTCCTGCGTTGGTTGGCTTCCGGCAAAGCATGCTGAAGACACCTGCAGATGTTCCTCTTGTTCCCTTCTGAGCCAGTTTGAGTCTCACTTGCACAAAATTCGAGCTGCTTGAACGCGGCGGTATGGTGACCCCTGTGGCCCAATGCCTTCCCAGTGCTCTTCGTGGATGGGAAGCTCCGCGCAAAAAGAACCGGCAGGAGTGTGTGGAGGCCCTGCGGTCCGTCTTGGTGGATGCGATCGCCGGGGCCCCAAAAAGCCACTTCCTGCCAGCAGGCACGGGATCGACCCAGCAGCAATGTAGGAAACACTGCTGTACGGTGGATGCCCTAAATGGTGCAAGTAAACCAACCGTATACCACAAAACCGTGGCAAATTGCGGTAAATCAGAGGGTTACCTTGTTCCCTTACTTGCAATATTTCGAGCATCCACCGTAGCACAATAGTGCCCTCGTGTTGCAAAAGGCACGCAAAATGCATGCTGCATTTTTGGCGTGCCTTTTGTATGTGTGTAGTTCTGTGTTGGTTTGGTTTGCATATTTGGCTCTGGCGCTGCTGACATTGTACCGTGCCAACATGTGTCCAACATGCATACACAACTAGCTTGCTCTCGAAGTTGTTTACTTCCATAGCCCGGAAATGAAATGCAGAAAAGATTGCAACTTGCACATATGGCTGTGGCTCAAAGTTATACAGGATGGGGTTACGCGGGTTTTGGTCCATGTTTCCACTTACCAGTGTTCCGTTTGGGTACCGGTTTTTTGAGCCACAGCCATATCCCAAAAACAATAAAGTACACTAGCACGACCGAGAAATGGACTCCCGCAGGCTCCTTTCCGGAGTGCACTTTTGAGGTGTGCTCACTGATCGCCGGTTTGCGGATTTGTCCAGCCCCTTTGTTGAATAGCCCGGTACCAGTTAGGTAATCCCTTTTCCGTATTTACGACCAGCTGGTTTTGGGGTCGGATAGCGCATGAGCAGGAATCGGGTAGCTATTTCACACGGATCGCGCATGAATCACACATTTTGGAAGTTTCCCCATCCGCCAGACAACCCCAGAATTCACGGACAGCTGGCACCCATTCACCCAAGAAAACCACGTTCGCGGTTTTCAACCCAACTCCTTCCCAGATCGCGGCCTGGGCCACACACTTCATCGGCAACGTGTGCTCCACCATGCCCAGCCACCCAGACACGTGGAGGGACTGGCCGTGAGGTTTAAGAGTTGGAATCACCGAATTAACGAATTTGGTGATGCCCATCATTTTCGGGCCCCTATTTTTTTTTGTAAGGTACCCATTTGAGGAAGCATAATGCTGACCCGGAATCTGGGTATGCTTTTCAAGTGCCGAAAACCCACGAAGATCCCTCCAAGTAAGTATAAAGCTTGGGCTCGATCGTTGATCAATACCTTTTCCCTTTGCGAGGCTCACTGCGAAAGCGACCCTCATGGTTGACTGCATGCTTGGGGACATGGGATTCCCTGTGATAGGTGGAATTCCTATGCAGCCAGGCTTTTTCCGGGCTCAACAGTTTATTCCCGAAACCAGAGGGCTTGCATTGCCTGTTTGTCGAGGTTCCTTCTCAGCAGAGGTGCCTTGCTGATCAGGAGGGACTCTTAAAACACCTCGTCGTGGAGGTTCCATTCCCAAATCAGCATGCCGAACTAAGTATAAGAGGTTAACTAGTTGCATTTCCTTTTGTCTTGTGATCATGACTGATTCTGGTATTGAAGTGCATCGCGCTTATTGGGCCCATGTAGCCCAGGAGACATCGGGGGTTACCATGACATGTGTGCCCCAACAGTCCCAGGTATGTTCGGGATGGATGCTGGAGGTACTGCGCTGGAAGAATCATTTGTGAGGGGTGGTTGCTGCCTTTTTCAAACTTGCATTTTTGGTGTAGAAGCCACCCCCCCATCTAAACAAATCAAAGTTTTGAAACAGCTTCCTCTCCAGCTTGAGAGACAGGCAGAAACAATTCGAGTTCCAATCGAGGCCCCTCGCCTGCGTCAAGACTGGTCCCATGTGAAACTCGGTGAATTCATCTGGATTCAACTTGCTTTGAGACTCAGTCATTTTGCCAGTGCTCGGTTTCCAGCACCCTCACTGACTTGATTCCAGTCATACCCGCGCAGACTTGATGTTCAAGTTGGCTGTTGGGCATCTCCAAACTCGTGGAACCCCCACCCGCGTTAGGTGTTGAAACGGGGCGCTCTCCGGGGTTTCGGAACCGGTCGTTGCTTTTGTGAATTCTCACGAGTCGTTTTCTTTTTTGGAATTCCGCATTTGTTGCACCGGAGCCGGGTTGGTTTGCAGAAGTGGGGGAATAGTTTGCCACAGAAGCCAAGGCTCATTCCCTTCTTTCTCAGGAGGTTTGGGAAGCAAAGGTTTTTCCCCAGATTGCTGAACGCTATAGGGGTTCTATCTTCTACAAAAGAGGGGAAAGTGATTTGCGAGATCGACGGCTGGGTGCTAGGGGGCGTGCAGTTGCGGTGCTGGTGCTGTGCTGTTCCGGAGCTGTTCGTGGGGCTCACAGTTTGTGCGAGGTTGACGGCCGTGTGCTCTGGGGGGTGCTGTTTGCTGCGCTCTGTGGGGGTTCTCTTAGAGGTGCTTTTCTGTGTCCGGCTGTGTTTTCGCTATCTCCGGTCTTTGCGGGTCATATCTCCGGCTGGAACGCCGCCACCTCCCGAAGAACGCCGATTTGATCTTGGCCGATGTCACCGAGAAGCCTTCGACTTCATTCCCTTGGCCCAAGATCCCGTGGTGGTTTTACCGGCCCGGCCCAGGTCGCAGTACATCCAGTCGCTGAGGCCGGCAGTTGGCATTTGGCATATGAAGCCTGGCCAGTTCCTCTCGCAATACCCGCTTGTTGTTCGGGAATATTTTGGAAAACACTTCAATATGCTCCTGATTTAGGCATTGCAGCATTGCCATCATACCCTAAAGGGGGCAGTAGTGGGAAAAGGTCACTGGGCCGCAATGGTTTCCGATAGTTATGGGTCGGAATCGGGGAAAGTTGCGTGCAGCATAGCCATTCTATTTACGCGGACAGGGGGGGCAAACACCGATGCAAAGATGTTGTCGTTGTTCAAGACATGTTTAACTGTCAAACTCTGCTTTTGGGTTGTTTCAAAACGTGTCAAGCTGTTATTTGGGTTTGTCTCTACATGGGGGAAAACACAAAATTAATGGTGTCCCTTTCTGTTCCCTTTCACAAACGTAACAACTGGAGCCAGTAGGCCAAGATACATCGGCCCCAATAAAACCCCAAACTCGGCCTTGAAACAAGTCGGTTCGGGGCTTAACAAGCCCAGACTGGGGTCTCCGATCCCCAAACCATGTATATTTGGTAGGCTGATTATGAGTCAGACTCAGAAATTATGATTTCTGTGTACCCCAGAAGTGGGTGAAGTTGTAGGGTCAAATGGGGCCAAATAAGTTGGATGTGGAAATGCCACACGGCGTCAATAGGTGTTTGCAGCGGGCATGACGGTTCAGTCCCAACATTCAGAATAGACATGATGAGGGATCCTACCCCCCAAAAGCTTCGCACGAATAGTAAATTGCTTATTCAGCCTCATTTGACCCTGGACTTATGACTCCCTGCAAGGGACTTGGTAGGGTTGACATTCGAAGAAGAAAGAAAACGTGAGCAAGCTGCAAATTTCTGAGGCAAGATATGTTTGAGCATCCAGCCCCGGGTAGATTGTTGTTCATGTTTAAACAGTTGGTTAGGTTCACCCTGATAGTGACGCACGACTCAAAGCCCAGATTGCCACCAAGGACCTTGCCAGACTCATCCGGAGGTGCCATGTCAGCATGGGACTAAGTTTGCTTCCCTACTTGGGGCGTTGGGTCTTTGCCGCTGAGCGTTCTTGAAAGTGCAAGCCAAGTCGCTGGCCAAGCAGTCCGCTGACCAGAAGAAAGCAAAGTGAATTGGCCATGGGTCAAAATCCCGTACCCCGAGTGAACATCCCAATCCCCACTAAAATGGACTAAAATGGGTGCTACACCTACCCCAAAATGGTACCAATGGTTTTGACCCACAGCCAATTATATAGAATTGTTGAGACATTTCTCACTGATCTTGGAGGTGACACGTTCATTTCCCCGACCCCTTCGGCCACTTACCCGAGTTGACGAACTGGACTTTTCAGTTCGGAGGTGTCATCCATCGTTTCTGAACGTGCTGTGTTCAGCGGGGAGGTGTGGCTCCAGCGATTCCGATTCTGCGATCAAGAGTTGCGGAGTGGGGAAGGGGAAGGTCTGTCAATCGAACTTGTGTTTCCCCTTTTTGCAATCGTGCAAGCGGACGGGGCTTTCTAAGGCAAAGGTTGTTTCCGCATCCGATCCTTCAAGGATTGGAAAGAGGGTAACCTTGCGCGACTTTTGGAAGACATAATTCTCACAAGCCAACGGTTCTGGATTCATGGTTAATTAGCCTGTCAAGTTGGGGGCTGTAGGGCGTTCATAGACTTGGCTCTTAATGGTTTGACCGAAAGACACACGTTCTGCCATTTACGTAGGATGTCACTAAAAAGCAAACAGCTTGTGGCAGCAGCACAGATTTCTTCAGGTCAGTTTGCTTGGTTGGAATCCCTGCTTGGAAGTTCGCAAGTGGAACCCGGCTCTAAAAATGTACTTGTCTTTACGAAACTCGCCAGAGGCACCGATTCTACAGAGAATTCGCCACAAGCCTCATATTCATGGGTGTTTGGGCTAGTTCCCTATAAAGTTGAGCAGTTTTCTTTTCGCCAGGCTGCGCTTTGGCAAGCGCTTCGAGACCGGCATTCTGCTGGGCGGGGCCCGGAAACTCAACGGCGAAGATTTAACGTTTGCAAGGGGATGTGCCTTTTTGTGAGGTTTCCCATGTCAAGACGCTCAAGACTTCCATGAACTTTTGTTGGTTTCCCACCTCCTTTTCGTCTACAGAGTTGGTTCATATTTTTGGGGTAGACCAAATATGAAGCACATGTAGACCTTTGGTTTTAACCACCTGGGTTTTTTTGGGTTCTTCCTTGAGCTGAGCCAGGTTCTGATAGAGCTGGGAGGCCTTTGGGGCACTAAGTTACCGTTCGGAAGTGGGGGTGACTGGCTGAATTCAGTTTGGAACCAAGGGATGCGTCTCTTTTGAGGCTTGTCACCTTGTTTTTGAAGCCAAAAGCATGATCCCCCAGTCTTTCTTTGGGGGGGCCTAGTTTTCGGCTTGCCCCCTGCTGCCCTGATTTTGTACAGCAGCCGCTTTTCCACTTGCAACTCCCCCCATGGCTGGAAGCCAGCACCCCTATTTTTCTACCAGGCCTACTGCCATTGACTGTTTCTTCGCGCAAACCGTTACGATTGTGGTGAGGTTTTTCGGGGTTGGGGCCGATGCCACGTGACCAAGGAGCTTTTGTCTTGCTGGTGCGATAGGCAGGGAATGAGGGAATGACCCTTATAAACCAATCCTTGTGGTGTCCTTGAAGGGAATCTCCAGGTTCATTCCCCATTCCTTGCTGAGCACCAGCAATCAGCAAGTTTTGGGCAGGACATGCGGTCCTTGGAATTTAGAAGAGGTGCGCTTCTTGGGTGGCTTGAATTGGTGGGGCTGCAAAGAACGAAGTGTCTGACCTACAGGGCGTCAGGAACCAGAGTTGGCTAGAATGCAGCTTGCCAATTCTAAATACAGGGTTTCCGATTTGCGAGTGATTTGGATCACTGTTGGCGATTCATCCACAAAGTTCTAAATAGAGCCGGGGTCTGCATTAATAATGTTGACACCTGATCAGTAGACTCCCTTGATAGAAGACGTCCCATTTTCCCAGCCAACTGCCAGGCAATGCTACTTAAGCGGTTTGCCCAAAAAGCCTTCTACTCCATTTTGGGTACGCACCAGGACTACAGACGTCCTTTCCCGCAAACAACAAGCATAGCAAACAGAACACAAGCTGGATCGGAGAGGGGGGCGTCCGGGACCTCGTTGAATGAGGTTTGACAGAGTTTGTTTTCCAACGAACACAAGGAACCACAGACCCTTGGTGCTAATGGAGCACCCCCTGAAATCTGGAGGTGGAGGGACCTAGATGATCCTTCCTCTTTCAAGAGCAGTCTTCAACGCTCCTGTATGGCATAATCCGCCCGAGGACGAGGGCCACGCGTCTTGCTCGTTCCCTGCAAGAATTCGCTTTGGCTCCTTTGATTTTCCAGCGAGTTTGGCTCGCTTCCGCATTCTTTGTGCTAGGGGCCCGTGCTGGTCAGCTTGAAGAGCGCCTCAACGGCCTGAAAAGGAGAAGCGCCCTGTGTGTTGGCAAAACTCCTTGGCAGACACGCTCTCGTCACACCGGTTCATGCGGCTTTGCTGCTTTTTTGAGGGTACCTGTGTTGAAGGTGGCTAAGAGCAAAAACAACATATGGGTATGGGTCAAAATACAACCACCAGCAAACCGCAGGTTTTAGTCTTTGGTTCCATTTACCAGGGTAACCCATTTTTGATATGCATTTTTGACCCATAGCCATATCTTTCAGGGCTTCCCTTCGGAGACCATGCCATTCAGCCATCGAAATGGGGCCCGAGGTGCAGCATGCGGATATGCTGCGCTGGGCGCGAGAGGAAGTGAAGCAGGGCTTTGCGGGGCGCCCAGCGCTTCATGCGGTTCTTGGGGAACATGATGTCTTGCTGTTTTTAGCCTCTGCTTTGTTGGTTTCAATGAGTTTGCTTGTGGTCTAGTGTTCCAATTTGGGATGCTGGCAGTAAGAAATTGCAAGGAACCCAATCAGTTGCAAGTAGGTGTGTGTTGGAGTTTTGCTTACTAGGTAGCTTGTGTTGCTTTCACAAGGTATAGTAAGACCCTAAGCAGGGAGGGTCTTTGGGAGGGGAGGTCCCTGGTTTTCAACAGGACCCGATTCGAAAAGGGCTGGGTGGTTGAAGTTCACGTTGTTCTTGTTAGTTTGTTGGTTCTGTTCATTTGTGGGGCTGCGAAGAACAAGTCAGCTTTACAAGACAGGGATTTGGAAGTCTCCCATTTGTCAGGGACCCGAACCTCCCAAAGCCCAGACACCCAGTGCCGTTTTTATACAACTTGTTGTGTTTTTGGAATAGAAACCAACTACCCAGACCAGAGTGCCCGCCTTTGTTCCCCATGGGGACTGGGGGGGGGGTTCGCCTGAAGGCTAAATGGGTGTAGCAATATATATATATATATATATATATGTACATATGTATAAATATATATATATAGGCGAACAGGGTGTAGCAATGTGTGCAGAAATAATATCAATATATAGTTTCATGTAGGTGGTACCTAAAGCAATATAAGGGGTAAACGGTCAGCTCGTAAGTTCCTTTTATGATCATGGTTCATTCTTGTATTGAAGTACGGAAGGCCCTATGTGGCGTATTGTTGGGGGCCTTTGTTTACCCTGAGAAGCTCTGTCAAGCCCTCAACCCTTGGGGTTGTCTTTTCGGGGGTTGTGGGGCCGTGGGGTCGCTTCTGGTGTATCCCAGCCACAACAGTGCCAATGGGCGTCCTCGCGCTGTTATTGTTCCTTTGGCGCATTTTGCTTGGATGTTAGGACTTTAACTGTTTGCCAACTAGTGGGTTTTCCATTAAACCACTAAAGGTTAAACCTTTAGCAGGGGAGCAGAAAGCAACCGAGGTTCGGTTTCAAGAACCTCCCATGCCATTCCGTGCAAACTCATTTGAGGGCCACTCCGCTGCCAGAGACACCTCAGCAGCTTAACAAGTCTCTTCATGGGGAACGAGAACAGCTGAAGAAGACCCGAACTGTCGGGGTCCCTAACCGGGCCACGGAAGTTGCATAGGACATCTCCAGGGAGACGCCCCAAAAACCATGACTACTGGTTTACTCATATATCGAAAATAAATTGGGTCGGAACTTGAACACACCCTTTGTTGGACATCATTTAATCTCAGTGCAGGATTAGTAAACCCCCGATTAAAGGTTCCCCTCTTCCCTCCCAGATTCCCACCAACACCAAAGTGAAAGGTGTTTTGCCCAAACCCCGCGATTAAAGGTCCCCCCCTTGCAGCCACCGGGCCAAAGAAACCTGGCAAAACAGGGGCTTTACTTTTTGCTTGGCATTCGCTCAGTTTGTGATTAAACTCACCATTACTCAGCCACTATCAAACCCCTAACCAACATGCTTCCCCCAAAATGCATTTGTCTGACTAAAGTTTGTTTAACATGACAAGTTGTTCAAGCTCACACTGGGGACGCCCGAAGGCCAACCCCCCTTAACTGAAAACCCGCGATGAATCTGGGCCCGTTTGGAGGTTCTCCAGGTTCCGGTTTCCAGTTCAATTGGCTAAGGGGCCTCAAGTAAAGATTAAAGGGACGAGGAAGGGGCTCCGGATGAATCAGGGGGGCTTTGGGGGTCTGTCGAAATCTTGTCGACCTTGAATGACGGGGTCCCCTTTACTAATCAGGCGTAAGCATTAGCATGGAATTTAGGTATATACATGTTTTTTGTTTGAGGTGGTTCCAACCCTCAAAAAATCACTACCACAATGTGGCTTTCAAGTATACAACCACACTTTGTCGTTTCTTGGGCCCGTCCCTGGTCGCCGAGGGCCCCTTCTGAGCGATCGATTGCGCGATCTGGGGATCGCTGTGAGGGCAAAACGCGTGGGGTTTGGATCGGGCACGCTGGTTCTCCAAAACCTGGGACATCGCTTGAAGGGGCCTATGTGGACCTTTGAAGGCAGTTGGACCATAAGAAAGGGCCACCGGTTGCACTGTCATCTTTTCCCGGGACCAAGGAAGATCCTTCCTGAAGCCTTTTGCCCCCCAGGGCGATTAATTTTGGTGGAAGGTACGACTTGGAGATCGCCATGAGCAGTCACTAGACTGCGGTGAGATACTCCGCAAAGCAAAATGGAACCCCGAAGAGATCTCTTAGATTCGACTGGTTTTTTTGGGGTTCCCCGTTAGTTTGGGGAATAGGGCACAAGTTCAGCCAGGGTTGCTTCCTGCACCCGGGGATCAATGTTTCGTATCACAGCTCACTTGAAGGCGAAGACGTGGTCGAGGTCCCAAAAGGTGTTTTTCTTACCCGTTTCCACGTCAAAAGTTTGGAAAAGTGGGGAAGTGGTGGCAAAATGTTCACTGGTTCAGCCCGCTCCGGGAATGGCATGTGCAAAATATATATTTTAGCCTTTGTGGGGCTTGTAGTTGGTTTCAGTTGTGATTGTACGTATATATGTGTAGATTGCTCTTTACAAGAGGGATGCTGGGGTCTCCTGCAAAATCATGTGTATTCAGGGTAGACTAAATATGAAGCAGAATCTTCACATATTTTTGTGGTATGCCAGACGTGGGCAATTTGCATTTACTATAACTGGCGCAGACGGCGCGAGACCACTCCCAAAGATCCCAGCCGGTAAGGTCTTAGTTGGACAGTTTTTGACCCCTGAAGGCTCAACACCCTGACCCTTGGAGCATCTTCTGTGGGGTGTTTGTCAGCACAACCCCGCCCAGGTTCTTTTGGAGAAGCGGGTTTGGTCTCAAAATAGTCCAAAATGGGTCGATTTCGCTTTGGTTTCCCAACAAAGAACCACAAGGGAAATGATCCGCAGCGCAGGCGGCGTGTGGCTCGGGGCTGGCAGCCAGCGCTCGGCGCAAAAAACAAAAAAGCATCGCTGGATGCCAGATGTGTCAACCAAGAGACTTGCTTCAACTGAGCGTTGGCAAGTCAAAAGAGTCTTGCAAGCTGGTGTTGGCCTCCTATCGCCCAGCCCAAACGATCCACTGCCCGACACCTGCTTGGTCACAGAATCTTCATCACCGCCGACCAGTCGGCTCAGTCCGCTTCGCAGATGTCGCATTGCTGCAGCTGCAGCTGCAGTTGGTACAAGCCCGAGAACCTGGCCCCGGCGGACGCCTGGTGGAAGGAGTTCCCCGAGTCGAGAAAAGACCAACTTCCGGGTGTGGTTTGGATTTGTTTTTCCAGGGCCCCTGTTTTTAATGCCCGGGTCAGAAGGAGCCCTTGGGATAGACTTCAACTAGTTGCCTTTGTGTTTCCTTCGGTTTCCCCTTTTGCCAGCAAAATGTGACTTGCGGGTCAGATGAGCGACCCGAGCAAAGGCAGTTGGGTCCCAGGGTGTCGGAGGGGGGCGTCTTTGCGGTGGTTTGGATTTCTGAGTCGGAGAAATTGGAATCAATGCGACCGGATGGAGAGAAGATGGAGCCAACAAGTTTCAGATGTCGTTACAAAACCCAACGTGTGATTTTCTGTGTATGTTCCTTGAATCCAACCCCTCTCTATAACCGCCTTCCCCGCGAGGCTCCAGGCTTTGCAAGTGGGGTGGGGGTCCTATTCCAACCTATTTTTCTGGGGAGCTTCTCGCCAAAAGTGACGAATTGCCGCTAAACGAGGACAACCCATCTTTAATCAACCAGGGGTCCCATTCTTGGCCTTGAAAGGATGGGCGAGTCTCAAAACATAGGCACCGTGAAACTCTCGGGCCCGGGAAACCCCGGGTTTCGGACGCCCCCCCTTTCCATCCGAGATGCAAACCAAGGTGCCCCACTGGTAAAGAGCTTGCTAGGCCTATCAAAGGTGAAAAAGGCTCACGTGCCTAATGCCTCCCCTCTCCCCTCCAAACCCAGCCGTACCCCTACCCCCAATAAGGCTGAACTAGCCCTTGAACTCTTGAGGGTTTCGGAAGGCTGACTTGACATGTTTTTTTTCTCAGATCACAAGCCGTGTTTGGTTTCCCGGGAGCCTGGCAGCATTTGGATCCTTGTGCCTTTGTTTTTGACACGGGACCCCGGAAGATGCTTGGTTTCCTTTCGGTTTCCCTACCCTCATGGCTTGCGAACAGGAGGCTATCCGCCACGAGACCGAGAATAGGCGGGGTCGCCAAGTTGCCGGCAACGTTGGTCAGCAGATCTTCATTCCCTTTCAACCAATCCAAACAGGGCCCCCCCCAAAATCACGACCCCATATCCCCTTGCCAAACTTTGGCCTGACCCGTTTGCCGGTTTGATCTTTTGGGTTTCCTTCATCTTGCAACCGGCGAAAGGAGAGAAATGTAGCGCAGGGTCAGATCCATCTAGCTAAGATCCCTTGGGTTTGGCTCAGGTGAGCCAGAATCAAACCCCCGAAAATCAGAGCGAACAGTACGGGAGAATGGGGGGGGGGGGGGGGGCGTGCGGCCTTTTACTATTTTCCTTTGCACGATTTGGGTCGACCCCTGCATGATAGGATCTTCAATTGTCCGGTTCACTCAATATGGACCAGAGTCTGCAAACCCTAATTTTGGTTGACAAAGCCGCGGCAGCTCTTTAGTAGCAAACAACCGTCTCTTTTCCGTACTCCCAACCTGGGGCTTGATGCAACACTGGATATTTTAAAGACGAACCTACTTAAGTATGAGAACTAACATTGTTTCCGGAGTACATGTTTGTTGGTGTGCCAGATTTGGGAGTGATTCCGACATGGACGTGGGTCAAAACCGATGGTACCATTTTGGGGTCGGTGAATTCACCACCCATGTTAGAACCTATTTTTGTGGTTGGATTGAATCGGATGTTCCTTGGGGGTACGATTTGGCTTTTGAAAAGCCCATGGCCACATCTGCCCCGTTTTTTGTTTGTGCGCGAAGCATTTTGGGGGTCCCGGGTTGGATGCCAGGTGGTACGTGCGCCAGCTGCCGGGGTCCTGGGCTGCGACCTTTGGAGGGTCCCAGATGGACGCCGGCGGCTTAGGGCGGGGGATGGGGGGCAGGTGGTGGGGGTTGGGGGGCGGACCCCGGGAATTCTTGGGGTTGGGGGATGAGGGATGGGCGGAATTTCCGGGAGTTCTTGGGGGATTTCTTATCTCAGGGACTTCTTGCAGATGGGTGGTGGGGCTGGAATCCCTGGAATTTCTTTGGGAATCTTTTTTGGGGGTCGTCCGATTTGGGGGAAAAGCGGAGTAGAATCCCTTCCTGAAATCTTGCGTTCATGCCACAGTCTTGAGTTTGAGCCTTGTGAATGAAGACCTTGAAGCAATCAATATGAGATTA